ATACAACCCCAGATGTCTCTCATAAAGATCAGTTAGCGGTTTGTGTACGCTATGTCAGCAATGAAGGAAAAGCTGTTGAAAGACTACTTGAATTAAAAGTAGGAGTAGATAAAACTGGACTTGGTACCGCAGAACACATTTTTAAAGTATTAAACAAGAATGTTTTAAACACAGGAAATTTAGCGTTTCAGTCGTATGACTTTGCTAGCAATATGTCTGGGGAAGTAAATGGTGCTCAAGCCCAACTCTCTCAATTAGTAGAGCATAAATTTTTATACATTTTTTGCCAAGCCCATAGAATAAATACATTTCTTGAACATGGTTGCAATGCTAGCATAGTTGTATTGAGTATGATTGATAATTTAGAGAGTTTATATGTATTTTTTTCATCTAGTACTAAACGTTATGGAATATTGAATAATGAAATGAATAGTATAGAAAGTAAATTACATTTAAAAAACTTATCAAAACCAAGATGGACTGCAAGAGCTAAATCGATCATAGCAGTTTGGAACTCTTTTGTTGTTTTGTGCAGTTGTTTTAGTAGTATATGTTCAAATCCTTTGTTCGATTCAAACACCAGAACAAAAGCACTTGGTTAAAAAAAAACTATTCTCTTTTGATTTTATTTTATCTTTAATGTTTATGAAAAATATAATGTATAAACTAAAAGCCTTAACTGAAACAGTGGAAAAAATTTATGTATCATTGATGCCACGAATCTAATTGATATTACTTTACAAAATTTAGAAGATGTTAATTCAAATAACGAAGCTATGGATAACTTAATTGACAGTGCAGTATTATTTGCTCGTATTCTTGGCATTAATCCGGAGGCTGATTTTAATCTGCACCACCGACTCAGTTTTAATTCATTTAAACCGTTATTTCAAATGCTGTCGTTTCCTTTAAAAAAAGAAAGCATTTCGATCAATAGTATTAAAGACACTTTATTATTATTTCCAGCAAATATCAAAGAACTAAAATGTATAGACATTGATGCCATTCAAGCAGAAATGGATATATTAATTGGGATTTGTAGAAACAATAATTCAAGTACATTTGAAAACGTTATGAAGACATCTGAAAAAATGAGAAATGTTTTACCACGGGCAAATCGAATTTGTAGATTAGCATTAACCGCACCAATAAGTGTAGCAACAAACGAAAGAAGCTTCAGCAAACTTCGTGTAGCAACAAACGAAAGAAGCTTCAGCAAACTTCGTGTAGCAACAAACGAAAGAAGCTTCAGCAAACTTCGTGTAGCAACAAACGAAAGAAGCTTCAGCAAACTTTGTGTAGCAACAAACGAAAGAAGCTTCAGCAAACTTCGTGTAGCAACAAACGAAAGAAGCTTCAGCAAACTTCGTGTAGCAACAAACAAAAGAAGCTTCAGCAAACTTTGTGTAGCAACAAACGAAAGAAGCTTCAGCAAAATTCGTATTGTTAAAAATTATTTAAGATCAAAAACAAATGATAGTAGATTGTAGATGATGGTAGATAGTAGATGATAGTAGATTGGATCTCCTATTGCTTTTGAATATAGAGAAGGATATTGTTGATCGCCTAAATCTTACTGATATATGGGCACTGTGGGAAACATTAAAAAACCGCAGAGTATAACTCTAAAACTATGAAAATAAAAATGTATATATTTCATATATATACAATAAAAAAAAATTAAGTCGGCATTTTTTCAGGTTTCAAAAATTTTAATCGGCAATTTATTGATTTTAAACCTCCCTCTCAACCCCCCCCCCCCAACCCCCATCGCTTAGGATTTAAAAACTATAAATGTTAAACGCTAAGCGAAGGGTCTTATCCTAAAGAGCTAAAAGATTTTCTTTTCAGAATGCAATTAAAATAAATCAAATCAAATTAGAATTCTCCACCACAATAAAAAAAGCTTAAATCGAAATTTTGAAAAACTTCAATTTTTTAGAAGAAACAAAAAATCTATTTTATATCATTTGTTTAACTGAAAAAAAATGATATAAAATAGTTACATTAAACGATTTTGACAATAATTTTAATATTCCTCATTTTAAAATTATCTCACTAGAAAGAAAAACAAATAAACGAGGTGGAGGGCTTCTAATTTATGTTCATGAAAATATGTACTATAGTATGAGAAACGATTTAAAGCGTCTCCGATGGCGATAAAGAAGTTTTAACAATTGAACTTTTATTTTAAAAAACAAAAAACATCCCAGCGGGCACAGCCGCCCGTAAGACGTCGTATAGACGTCTTAAGGACGTCACAAGTCTGAAGGACGTCCTTAAGTCGTCCTACGGACGTCCTGTGCCCGTAGGGATTACTCTAAGCTGTTGCTATCGACGGAAATTGACGGAAACTTGACGGCGTGAATTTTCACTCACGCCGTTAAGTTGGAAAAGGCATGTTTTTACAACATATCGTGAATACAAGCAACGCAAAAAAAGAGTTTAGTAATTGGAGACTTTAATATGAGTTGTTTACTCTATAACGATGAGTATAAAGTTAAAAAACTTTATAGCACAATTTTTGAAACAGGATCTATACTAATAATTAATTGTCCTATTAGGGTAACAATAAACTTGGCTACCCTAATAGATAATATTACAAAGACAATTTTAACGAAGATATTCAAAAAGGTATTTTAAAAACTAATATATCCGATCATTTTCCTATATTCCGGATTATAAACTCAAATTTAGAAAAAAATATTAACACCCTAACAATTGTAAGAAAATGTATTTTTAAACAAAAAAAACTTTGAACTATTTAAAGATCAACTATCATTATTCCATCGGAATCATATTGTTTTTAATGACAATTCAAATAACATCTACGAAACATTTTATGAAAGATTGCTTTCTCACAGTTCACAAAATAGGTTTTAAGTATAAAATGATATGACGCCAGAAGTTTCAATCGATTTAAGTTATTAATATTTTATATTATTAATGTTTTATATTATTTATTATGTTATTATATTGTTTATAATGTTTATATTGTTTATAATGTTATTATATTATTAATTTTATATTATTAATATAATATTATTAATGTTTTAAGGATCAAACTTTAAAAAATCTAATGAGTGGCCCTTTTTTAGAAAATTTAGTTTTAAGATTTAAAAAAATTTCATTATATTTTGTAGGATTTTTAATGGTTTAACTTCTTTAATTAGTATTTAAATCAAAAGTATGGTTGATAATACAACGTTAGTTACTATTTTTTGTTAAATATTACCACAACATTTATAATTAAAAAGCAAAAAATCGTAATCTGTTTCCCATTCTATATCAATATTTGTAGCTATATTGCATAACTAATCACATATATATATATATATATATATATACTATATATATATATATATATATATATATATATATATATATATATATATATATATATATATATATATATATATATATATATATATATATATATATATATATATATATATATATATATATATATATATATATAGACTCACACACACACACAAGTTTGCCTTTTTTATTTCATATTTTCTTTTTTTATTATTTATGTTTATTTATCTATATTGTATGGGATTACAATAAAATAGTTTTTTTTATAAACATTTATTCCAGTTTGTACTGTCTTCTTATGCTCACTTTCGAAACTTAAATATGTAACAACATATATACTTATGTGATATAAATAGATAATCCGCAAAACTAGAAGATAAAATCTGCAAAACTAGTTTAAAGAACCTAAAAGTTATGCCACATCTACTCTCTAAAAAAAAAAAAATATAAGTGAAGTCACGAGGACAATCAAAGACTGCTGCCACCTCAAACATTTAAAACCTATACCCATCAACCTGAAACTGGAGATATTGGTCAGAGACCATAACAATCCAACTATTCAAAACATGTGTTTGAGTATCCAACAGGTAAAATTTACATTGACTATTTTTTATACAAGAGGTTCAGTATTGTCATCAATTCAATATTGCTTTTTGACAGTTTATTGAACATAGATATAAGTTGAGCATTCTTTTAATCTACTATTTAGTAAAATAATCTCTAAATTGCATTTTCAATTTTGAAGGAGATTCGTTGAAAGTAATCTGCAATATATTTGACCCTGAACAAGAGAGAGAGGATGACATGAGGGACAAAGGAACATATTCTGGGATCAATAGAGCTGTCGTTTTTGCAAACGCAGATAACTTATAAGAGACCAATGACAACCTATCGCAGATTCTCGAGAGCCTAATCTGCATAAATGCAAATATTCTCTTGCATTAGACATAAAACTCATCAACATATTGTTGGAATTTTGGTATTATATATTATAACCCAAATTTATACTTTTTACATTATTTGAGCACATGCACATACTAACACTACTAAACAAAATGTAATTCAGGAGCCTTATATAAATTATTTTATGCTCAAGAAGGAAAATATTCCTGTGCGAAGTGTGAAGGTACATCAACTATTGCCTTAAAAAATTCTATATTTTATCAGTCTTTAATAAATATTATTTTTACATAGAATGTTGTGAAGCCATACTTGATCAAGGAAGAAGACAAATCCAAGTTGGTGTTAGATGTTATAACTTTGCCAGAACTTCACATGCTGATGGGCCTTGTAAATTATATGTGATCATTCCTAAACAAATTGTGGCCCGAGTTTGAGATTTGGGTTTCAAGCTTAGGATGTATAAGAAAAGGTTATCTAAGTGAAACTTATGATGGAAATACTTCAAAATGGATGCTAGAACAATTCTATGAGCTGGAAAATCTGTAACCAGCAGAGCTACTACCTCTATTAGAACCCTTGAGAAAGTTCCGCGAAGTAGTTCAAGAGACATTTGGAAACAGTTTGGATCCCAGTTACAAAGATTACATTTAGGCATTTACGCAATCTTATGTGGTTACCCAAGAATACTGTAAGGATGTAGGCTATAGAATGTCTCTTTTTGCTTTTAATAATGTTGAACATTTTTTAACATTTCACAATAATTTATACAAAATACTTTTTTTAAAGAGATGTTATAGTAGCATAATTTAAAAATATTTGATTGATATTTTATTATAGTATACTAAAAAGGATCTGATTATCACTTGGAAAGTACCTGCTATTACAGCACAGTTAGAAGGCTTTATCTTCAAATCAGGCCATTCTCTGGAAAAGATATGCAGAGCAGACTTCTGAAGCAGCTCATGCTAAAATAAAGCCTCTTATCAACAGGTTCAATGTTTCCTAAATGAGCAAAAAACATCTGGCAAGAAGCAATAGAATTGCAGAGGTGTTTAGTAGTGCAAATTTGTAATCAAAAGACGTTATCAATGTTATAATATATTATTAAAAGATTTTTTGTCATTGATTTTTAAACTAAAATGTTGTGGTGTTGTAATATGTAATATAAAAACAAATAAAAATTGTATTATCAACCATACTTTTGATTAAAATACTAATTAAAGAAACAAAACCTTTAAAAAATCTTTAAAAAATGTAATGAAGTTTTTGCAAATTTTAAATTAAATTTTCTCAAAAAGAGCCACTCGTTGGATTTTTTAAAAGTTTGATCCTTAAATTATATGATATTAGTAACCTAAATCCATCGAAACTTCCGGAATCATATAATTTTATACCTAAAACCTATATTTGTGAACTGTGTTTTGTTTACGACGCTAATTTTCTAATTGTTGAAAAAACAATAAAAATAAACAAAAGCTCAAAAAGTCCTGGATTTCGAAGGGATTAAAAATACCTTCAAAAATTCAACAGAAGTTGTATAATAAATATTTAAAAACAAAAACACCTGCTTGCGAAAAAATATGCAAAAACTACAAATATCTACTTGAAAAAATAAGTAAAAACTTAAAAAAAAATTACTCAGAGCTGATTAATAAATTTGCACATGGCAAATTATGATAGAATTTACTGGAAAACAAAAATCATGCTTAGGTTTTCTGCCGCAGATGACTAAAGTTGATAACATAAGTTTATATGACCCAAAAGCCATATCCCATGAATTTAATAAATTTTTTATTGGGATAGGTCCTTCCTTATCAAATAGGATTCCAAAAACGACGGCTTTCTTAAATGATTTTCTCATAACTATGGATAATTGCATTTGCTCTGATGAATTAACTTTAGAATTATTTTGAGGAATTTGAAGTTGCTTTGAATTCTGTGTAAAGAAATAAAGCAGCATGAGTTTCGATATATTAAAACATATTCTTTTTAAAGCTTTTAAAGATTCTATAAATCAAGGAATATTTCCTTGATTGATAGAATTTTATATTTCCAAATAAAAGTTGCTAAAGTTACTCCTATCTTTAACGAAGGTGACAGATCAAATATTAGGAACTATCGACCCATTTCTGTTCTTTTGGTATTTTCAAAAATTTTAGAAAGAATAATGTCTAAATAATATACAAACATCTCAACAAAAATAACTTACTATACAACAAACAATTTGGTTTTAAAAAAGATAACTCAACAGAGCATGCATTAATCCAATTTGTGCATGAAATCAAAAAATCACAGTATTTATTTGGTATCTTCATTGACCTATCAAAAGCTATCGACACAGTAGATCATCACATTTTGCTTCAAAAACTTGAACACTTTGGATCAAAGGTATAGCCTTAAAATGGTTTAGAAGCTATTTAACAAAAAGAAAACAATTTTTATTTAGTAATGAATAAAGAATTAAAACTTATATCAAACTGGTTTAAATGTAATAAGCTAGCCTAAATATTAATAAAACCAAATGGTCTCTATACTTTTTGCATGCAAAAAAGCGATTTTTATAAAAAATTTGCCGCAACTTTTTATTGACGAAATTGAAATAAATAATATTAATATGCCAACACTGCTTGGGGGAGTACTGTAAAAAGTTAAAGCTTCTTTATCGTCGTCAAAAACATGCGATCCGCATAATCAACTATGCTGATCGTTTTACACATACAAAACCTTCTTTATCGTCGTCAAAAACATGCATAATTATGCTGATCGTTTTACACATACAAAATCTTTTTTTTTTACTGAAATGAAATTATTCAAGTTATTTGAACTCGATTTTTATTCACGTAAAGCTGAGCAGTTTGCTCCAACAGCGTTCAGCTTTGCATAAACAAAATTTTGAGGATAATTCCTCAATTTTTTATTCACGTAAAACTGAAAAATTACTGAGTAAAAGCAATTGTCTTTTTTAATTACCCGGCCCATTGTATTTAAAGTTTATGTTTTGTATATTTATGGAGAAATAATCTCCTACCGTTTTTAATAATACTTTCAAACTCAAACCTAACGACAAATACGATTTGAGAAACATAAACTATTTAAATGAACCGTTTTGTCACACAAATTTAATTAATTTTGCATTGCTTATCATGGCCCCCACCTATGGAATAATATAGTTTTGCGTAATTTGGATTTACCAACTTCCTTTTTTCCTTTTTAAGCTCAATCTAAAAAAACGTATGTGTATGTGTTTGTATGTGTAAACATGCTTATATTTATATATGTATGTCCGTATTTTTTCTTATTTTAATTATGTTGTTAAATGTTGTAACAAGATGTATATAATTGCACTATGACATTTTAATGTAAGCAAAGTATATATATATATATATATATATATATATATATATATATATATATATATATAAAAAGTTTCACTACGCACATCTTGGTACCTTCAAATTATCAAAATGATTGAATTACCTTAATCTATTTTATATTCACATAACTCTTAAATTTTAATTTATTTTTATTATTATATTTTGACTTTTTTTAAAAAAGTCAAAACATAATAATTTCTATTTTTTTGCCGTTTTTAAAAACGCCTTTGAATGCTTTTTAGGTATCGTAAAAAGCATTCTAAAGAGCTTTATTGTTCAAAAATATTTATTTGAGAATCTTTATAGGGATCTAAATTAGCTTATTTTGTAAAAAGTCAATTTTGATATTTTTTTATCTTTGTAATTATCATGATTGTAACACAAAAGCATAAAAACTAGGTTATATTACCATTAAAGTAGCCTTTATCACATAATGTACTAAAAAACAATAAAATTGAGTATCAAAGTTAGTAATAAAACAAAATATGTGAATCAATTGTAATAATGAATCTCAGTACAATTTAAGAAACATGAAACATAATGTAATTACTAGTATGATAAATATTAAATAAGAGAAAGGAAGACATAATAAAATATTTTAGGCAGTTTTTGATTTACTAAATTACGATTAATATTTTATTTTTAGAATTATAAATTATTACGGTACATAAACAATTTTAATCTGGTTAGTACCTACATACAAAAAGTCTGTTACAATAAAACCAGAAGTAGGCTAACTATTCATCTAGGCCTATCTCGTAATCCAAAAAGATATCTTCAGGGTTTTCCTCTGAAGAGTTTTCTATTTTTAGAAGTTTCATGTAAAAGTTAACTGTTTGTGGGTTGGTGAGAAAATTCGTCAAATGTTTTAAGTCATTATATTTAGCACTATTTACTGGAAGACGAGGATTGTATGAGTTGATAAGCTGACATTTTGTGGGTGGTTTCATCTCTTTCTTCTTGCCCTTTGCTGGAGGTGCCCACTTGACATTTCCTTTAAGATAGCAACCAAAAAATGTTTCCCCGTATGAAACTGATGGTCAGTCAGCTTGAAGAATTTTGAGACATCGAATAGCCCTGGTGGAAAATATCCATTTAGTTTTATATATAGAGGTTTCAAAAATTCTGTCTATGATTTTAAAAATCCATGATCGCAATCAATGACATGAAACGGCATAAGCTTTGTTCTTAAATTTCTCATTATTTCTCTCCATTCTTCAGGCAATTCAACGTAGGAATTCTGATTAATCAAACTCATATTTTTGTTGCACTCCAGATACGAATGCCCACGAACAGCGAAAAAAACTTTCACACACTCAGTTCTTCTTTTTTCTGTTACAAGATAGTGGAAATAGCAAAAAACAGTGTAGTTTTTATTCTGTCAACTACAAGAATTGCAGAAAATTACCAGTTCTTTAACCTTGTTGGTGACAAAATTATTGATAAAATGGTATTAATAAAACATGGAACACACTTCATCAGATTCTTTCTTTGCATTAGTTTCATCATATGTATAAAACACAGATTCACTAGAGTACATGAATGTTAAAGGAGTAAAATTTAAGCTACTTCGGGTAATACACATCATTGGTTGTTATATTTGGTGTGTGTAAATTCTTTTGGAAGTCAATATTAATTATAGCAATAAAAACTAATGTGTTTGACCTTCCGCTTTTTTTTCTGAACAACTTCTTCAAAGAATAAAATTTTTCTGCTTTCTACAAATGAAGTGTGTGTTCCACCTCGAGTAGATTCAGATTGCTGGAATTGCCTATTCCTTCCGTAAGTGCAGATTTCTTAGCTTTAAAAGTATCGATTGTGCTACATGTGTCCTTCCTTATGTAGCCAAAAGAAAAATTATGCTCATTCCGGAAAGTATCATAAGAAACTTGGCTTTCTGGATAATTATTAATGTTCATCTAGTAAAGTTTTGAAATATTTGATTCTTCTAGTAAATATATCTTATTACTGTCCTTCAGAGAGTAGTGAGACTTACGTCCTCTCAAAGAATTGATGACATTGTTAACAATAGTAAGAGTATCATTAGTGTTTGTGAGGCCTATTACTTTGGTGCGTCGCCAAAGGATCAACGTCTACCACGTTGATCCTTTAGCGACACACTTGTTTCCTTTAATGATTGCTGGATATTTTGAACACTACGGCCTGTTCCAAAATTCCAAAAAGCCAAAAAGGCCTTGAAGCACAATTGAACGTTCTCATAATTATCTTCTTTTCTTTTCTCACTTTTACTCTGTAAGAATAACATGCCATATTACGAGTACCATTGTCTGATTAGGCCACTGAGGTAGTTGCTTTGCTCGTCAAAAGATTGCATAAAATTGAATTCATTTATTATTCTTTTTCTTTCTCCCTCGACAACATTATCAAAGCATTTTAAAGGTAAACAGTTACAATTTTTAACTGTTTTGTGGGAAGCAGCTCTCAACTTCTTTATAACATCTTCCATTCGACAAAACTTTTTCCTTTTTGATTGTCATTTATTGAAAAACAATGTTATTGTCTTCATCTTCACTTTTACTCAAATCACTATCCATTATCTTTACTGGCTAGTAACCACAATACAGTAAATAAGAATTAGGGCTAAAACAAAATGTATAAACACACTCAGACTGACAGAACGTGGTAAATAAACAATAACAGACTGATAGGCTGAGGCCGCTAAGACGTTAGTCACGGAGCCTCCACTAGACAGAAAACGGTGATTGGACCTTCAGCGTTTTTCCACAGTCTTGCGGGACTATCATCTTTC